CAGTATAGCAAACCATTTCTAAATATTTTTAAAGTAATCAGAGAATGTTAAACTAAAATTTAAATTTAATTATATACAAAAATATATATTAAATATTTAATAAAAGTAAATAACAAAACTGTCAAAATTAAAAAAATTATAAAATATAACTATTTTTCTATTTTCTATTATAATATTGAATTGATCAAAAATATATAGCATTTTATCTCTATATAAGACAAATAATAATATTGCATTAGCTTTTTAACTAAGTTGTTATTAATTAAAATAACTGAAAATTTATTTAATTTAATTTTATTTTATTATATTTATTGTTATAACTAATGCTGAAAGCTAAAATTTAGAATCATGATTTAAAAATATAAGCACTTTTAAAATCTATATATACTTTTTAATTATCAAGTTTAATTCTAAATACTAGCTTAACCAGAATTTTGAATAATACTAAAATAAGTAAAAGTAAAAAGTAAATATTTTTTAAAAAAAATTTATCTAAATTCTAAATAATTTTGACCAGAATTGAGATAAGTTTGGTTCAAAAAATATCTACTTTTATATTACCTACTTTAGAATTGTTTGAAATTCTATTTAACAATAAAAAAAAGCAGAAAAGTATTTTAAAAATTTTTTAAAAATTTATATCAAAATAGAATAATATTTATTGTTAAAATTTTTTGGTACGTATATACACGGGTTTTAATTGTTGTAGATTATAATAAAATAGGATTAAAATAAAATTTATTTAACCTTCTAAAACCTATTTATACTTGTTTATTATAGGTTTTACCTTTAAAGCTAATTTTAAAAAAATGCCAAAAAAATGCATTTGACCTGTTTATTTTTTATGCATATTTGTATAACATGCGACTTTTATTAATAAAACTTTAACTCATTAAATACTAAGGTAATATTAAGTTTAGAACTTAAAAAAGGCATAGTTTATACTAAAATTTGGCATTCTTTTTGCTAAAATTTTCAAAGTAGCTTTATTAATCAAATTTCAAATAGTATTAATATCTATATATATATACATAGTGTACAAATAGAAATTCTTTATTTTTAATTAAATATATTAAAAAAAATAAAAAAATTGATGTAATATATAAATAACAAATCAAAATTTAAATTGGTTAAGCGTATTAAACAAACTTATATATATATTTTAAACAATAAAATATATATACTACGTATGTATAAATTATATATAGTCAACTTTTTCTTTGTGCACGTTTTCTATATTCAAGTTCTCTCTAAATGCAATAAAATAGTCTTGATTTAAGGTGAGATTTATAAAATAAGTGCAAGTTCTTTATTCTGTAAATGCAAGAATTTTTTTTTAATTAATATATATTAAATTGTTTTTTTAAAAATGCAAGATATTTGATTGACCAATTAAATTAAATTATTTAATTATTAGTTTTTTAAGTAAAAGATTTTTTTAACTTATTAACTTGCATTTAGAGAAAATTAATTACATACTAATTTAATTTTTCTTTAATTGTAAGTTCTTTTTAAATGCAAGATGCTTTCTTAACCCAATAACCTGCACTTAGTAAGGGCTAACAAGTACGTATATTTCATATTGTATTTTATACGCAGCATAATTATATTAGTTATATGATATGGATATACAGTATAACTGGTGCATATTTAATCACGTACTTAAAAAGTTTTATTGATACCAAAACCATATTTTATCGTTATGTTATATACACTTTTTTAAATTCATTGTTTAATATACAGTATAATTAGAAGTTCATGTATATAAAATGTTTAAAAACCTGTTTTTATATTGGAAAAAAACAGGATTTGCAAGCGAAATTTCGACAACAGCAGGATTTGAACCTGCGCGGGCAGTGCCCATCAGATTTCGAGTCTGACGCCTTAACCACTCGGCCATGTTGTCAATATACTATATTCGACCCATTTATGATATTGACATTTCATATTTATAATAAAAAAGATATAAATATATATTAGTGTTGAGAATTGTCATACCGATACTATATAGAATTAAAGGACTATATTAAAAACCGGTTTGACAACATTCTATGATTAAGTTATCAACGGCCAATCACATTGTGATTATTAGAACATGTTAAGTGCATACTGCATACTGTGCCCAAGATCAAAAGTATTAATGAAATGTAACAGAACCGTGTCTTAATTTGGCAGTAAGCAAAGGGTTTCTTTTATTTAAGTTGTAGATCCGGTTTCATGATTCAAATTGTTTAGCGGGTTTACTATCATCCATCGCTCACAGATAGAACAATAAACCTTTTTGGCAAGTATTCTTCAAAAATCTTTGGTATGATATGCCAAACTTTTAAATTACATGCGAAAAATCTTTGGAAAAAATAGCATATCACGCCAAAGATTCGGAAGAATACTTATAAAAAAAACTTATTGTTCTATCGTGATCCTAATGGCAGAATATTCTTTCAATGAAATAAATATTAAGTTTTTCTTGTCTTTTTTAATTCTTTTCAGTTCATCCAAACCGTATTCATCGACTTCGTTAGTGCAGTTTCTTTATTAACTGCAAATTTCATAGTTTAATGCGAATTACGTTTAAACAAGCATAAAAAACTGTAGTAAAAAAATTTATCATTTTTTTGTAATTCTTTTTTGAATTATTTCAGCGACCATTGAATGCGACTCTTTTCTATCTTTTATAGTTCTAATAATCACTGTCTCTTCCAATTTTTCTATCCTTTTTTTTCAGCATTATAGGCTCCTAAAAATCATTAATAATTGCGGCAGATTAAAATGAAATTAGATTAAAATTAAAATTTGTCTTATTTAATTAGCGCGTCGTAAAATTTTTTTGTGGTGCTTTTTTTAAAATTTTGGTTAGATTTAGGAATTTTTAAAGGAAGAGTACATTACGTTCTGCCAAATTAAAAATATATAAATCGTGTATTCGGAGATTTTTATAATTTTTTTAAATAAGCTATTTTTTGACTATAACTATCTTCTACAGGCAATATACTAATATCTTTGGTCGATACCATTAAACAATAAATTTTACTATACATAATTTACACCCATTATCCTTTACATTTTTGCGATGGCATTAAACTATTCTATATAGAATTTAATTAATTTTCGTAGTAAATCGCAAATCTAGAACTAACAATAATAAACGAGGTTTTTTTCATGAAATATTATTAACCTAACGAATCACTTATTAACATTAGTAAGAAACTAATAAGAAACAAGATTCACGAATGGTGGCCTATAATCTCAATTTGATTTGATCTAGAATATTTTAATGCTATCACAAAAATGGAAGATTTTTGAAAAGTTAGTTTTTACTATATAGATCTAATAAATGATTCGTTAAGTTAATAATGGCTTTTTCGTATTCCATTAAAAAATCTCGTCTAACTAGTAAGAAGCTAGATTTGCGATTTACTACGAAATTTCCTATTGGTGATCCATAATAATTTATACCAGATCTTGAATATTTTAATGCTATCGCAAAAATGCAAAATAATTCATACGAGCAATTTTAAATTAACATATAATTGGCAATGTTATTATATTTAAAAGGTTTTTGGATTTAAATAGCTTATAAAAAGAATAAAAATAAAAATAAAAAATTTACTATAAACATCTTGATCATTGCCTTTAATTAACTGGTTTTTTTTGTATTCAGTACTTACATGTATATAGTATATAGCTATGTAGAATATTATCACTATAGTAATAAATAATAATTATTTGTCGTCTAAGCAAAATCTTTCAAATATTTGATCTTTTCTGATTCATTCGCACATTAAACACGAAATCAAAAAAGTACTCTAAAGTGTATAAATAAGTTACTGGGCAATTTATTCACATCAGCCAATCGGACGAAAGCCTTCCCATTATTAATATGTATCCGAAATTTCTGAAAATTCGGATATTCACTGAATATCTCATCAGATCCCTCTAATTGGGCCTCACATGAAGTAACGCGCATTGAGCGTAATACGGTATATTTCGAGCCTCCAGGTACGTTACGAGGCGTGTTCGTTGGAATAACCTTATTTTAATAGTCCCTTATAAATAAATGCCACATGTTCATCGATTCAACTGAATTAATTTTATTGCTATGCTATACTTAAGAATAATTTTATTAAATAAAACAAGGAATAAAAAACTCCAAAACATGACATTATCGTTATAACATTACAAGTATAAAGTTTTTGTAATTCTATGAGAAGGAATATATCGTGCGTACTTACTTGACAGATAATAGTATCCTTACGATGTATCAATATCGATATAGGACCTAGAAACATTAACCCAAAAAATTTCGCTACGTATCAAATTTAAATATCAAGTGTAACATGATTACACTAATACTAATTAATATCGAATTCTTTATGTTGGTTACGCTAGGGTTCTAACGGTACGTACGTACCTAAAATTCAATACATATATATAGAAATAATGATGGATCAGTAGTAATTATTTCCTAAATTGGGGATTTTAATAAAGTACAACGAAAGAAGAATAATGTATGTACGTACGTAGTACTTTATTGAACCCACTAATTTAGGAAATATTTGCTATGCTGATAATATACTGATTCATGTTCATGCATTATCGTTATCTTTAGATGATGGAATTCTTAGGCTTCTTTCACCATACGTAAAATCGTTTCTTATTATGCTAATCATAACGACAATAGTTGAGATGCTGGTGAAATAGTTTCAAATTTCAATTCGACAATTTCACCATACGTAGTGGTGAAATTAAGTCTGGGTTTATGGATTTTGTGGCTTATTGTTATTTCTTGTGATTCATCACGATCTCAAATAACGGCTCGGTTCATTATATAAAAGGTGAAATTCAAATGTTCCTGTGATCTTGTATCCTAAAATAGTACAAAAAGAATCATTTCCTTGTGATACGATAGCATATACGACAAACGCATTTAAAATGTCTGATTATTCTTTTTTTTCCTTGTCCCTCTTACCTTTAGTCAAAGAAAAAAAATGTCCAAAACGCATACTAAAAAAGAAACCAAAGTGAGCGACGACGGTACTGTCCATACAATAATTACCACTACTACCACTTATTCGGGTTCTGGCTCGGGAGGCTATAATTCAAATTTTAACTCCTTCTTGGCCGATAGTAACTTTGAAAACTTTGATAGTGCCAGTGATCTCCTATCACACTTTAAAAAACTTAAACGTGTATCTTATAATAAACCTGAGCAACCGCCTCATTTGCCAGAAGAATATACTTTACACGTAAAACCAACACAACAAGTTGAATATCTCAAATCCGATTGCACTGGAAAAAAAAGAGCTCTTTTGATCGGAATAAATTACTTTGGTACTCAATATGAATTGAATGGTACGTATAACGTTATATATAATTTTTTTGATGTCATTTTAATCTTAAATTTGATTATAGGCTGTATCAATGACGTCAGTAATATCAAGAATTTCTTGATAAGTCATTTTAAATTTAAAGAGTCGGAAATTATGGTTTTGACTGATGATCAACACGATCCATCGAAAATTCCAACAAAAGAAAATATGCTTAGAGAGATGAAAAGACTTGTTCAAAATGCCAAACCACACGATTCGTAAGTTTTTTTTTTATTATTTAATTGTGTTTTATTATGGTGTTTCATTAGCTTATTTTACATGTAATTTTTTCTTTGAAATTTGCCAGGTACTTTTTCCACTACAGTGGTCATGGTGGTCAACAAGTAGACGAAGATGGAGACGAAGAAGACGGTTATGATGAAACAATCATGCCACTTGACTTTAGAACAAAGGGACAAATAATTGATGATGTAAGTTTCATTCACTGAATTATTTGTTAATTTTCAAAAATAACACTTTTACCCTGTTACAGGAAATGCATCATATATTGGTGGATAGTCTCCCTGCTGGTAGTATTATTATCTCGTCGACGAAATTAAATAAATACTTTTTTGACATTAATCTTACTAATTTTAAAAGGGTGCAGATTAACGGTGGTATTTGATTCATGTCATTCTGGCACCGTACTTGATTTGCCATACATGTACTCAACTCGTGGTATGTTAAAACAACAAATATTGCAACATGCCGTCACGAAAATCTTTCACGGTGACTTTAAAAATGCTACTTCGGAAGCAATTACGGGGGAAAAAATTCGCAGAAAGAATCTAGTAACTAAATCAAGTCCTGCTGATGTTATTATGTTTAGTGGGTATGTTGGTTAATTTCATTTTTCAAAAAGTTTATTTATATATATTTTTTTAAATTTCGTATAATAATTTAGGTGCAAAGATGAACAAACTTCTGCAGATGCTACTATGGGTGGAACTGCCACTGGCGCTATGTCATATGCTTTGATTACTACGTGGGTTCATTTTCTTTAATTAAGTCAATGTGTTTACCAAATACTTACTCTTTATTCCTAATATAGGTTAAAAGAAGATAGTAATCAAACATATCATTCATTGTTGAATAATATAAGAAACATTCTTCACGATAAATATTCTCAGAAACCACAATTAAGCGCGTGAGTATTTTTTGTTTTTGAAATGTCAAAAGAAACCATATGTAAGATTTTATTAATTCAAACGCATTCATGTGCTTGCATATAGGTCTCACGAAATGGACATGCACGAAGTGTTTAAAATGTAATCTATGAAAAAAAAATAATGTGTAATTTATATTTTATTATTGATATTTTACTTTGATCAATCGTTTTATTTTTATTGAAGAATTATCTTTTCAATTTAAAATATTTTTATTTATATCATATTTATTCCAATTCAAATTTGTTTACAAATGTATTGAATCTTTCGATAATGCAAGTAAACTATACCCCGGTGGTCCCCGTGATAATTTCTAATTTTCAAACTGTTGTAGCTTTTATACGGGAGGAAAAACTGTCCGGTAAATTTATACAGTGCCCGACAAAGTTTTCCGCACCCACTAGCACAACATTTTAAAATTTCTTGTGTATAAAAAATGTCATGATCATCTATACATTTTACAGAACGAAAATTATTTTCGTGCCATTAACGTTAGTTAATGGTTTAGTACTAATTTTATGCCTTAAATTTGGCACGTAATTTTTATTACAAAAATTATGGGGCATGAAAATAACAAAATAGTTAATTTCCTGTATCACGTTCTACGTGATCACAAATTTTCACATGCTCACGGAATATACAAATATTTTTGAACAGGTGTATCTGACCGCGAGCCAATTCACAGGGTCCATTCTTTTTGATTCATAAAAAACTCCCACTATATGATTTAACCTTCTAACCCTAATAAAAAAGAATGGGCCTGTGAATAAAAAAGGATATCTGACCAATTTTACCGAACCAGGGAACCGTTAAAGCCAGGTGCCATTATGAAATTTAATTAACGTTAAGGTTAGGGGCCGCATGGACTAAGTGTAAAAGAGGTTTATAAATAAAATCGTCCTTCCGACATTTTTTCTTAATGCATCAATATTGGTTTAGACATTCGTTTCTTGTGTTTTTCGCATTTTTGCTTTTTTTTGCTTCGTCTGGCTGATCCGTGTATAGGGATTGGAACCGCCTAAAATTTTTCTTAATCGTTTAACCGTTTAACCGTTTAATTTGGCCAGCAATAAAATAATTCCAGCCCACGACCAACATAATCTGCCCGGAACTATGGAGCAATTTTTAAACGGTTAAACAATTCCAATCCCTATCCGTGTAAACAAAGATTCGTGATTTCATATTAGCGTAACGTTTCGCAGTTACTAAAATAGAACCGCACAAACCGTCAGGGTTGTAATAAAAAAAAATTAGAAAAAAAAACTAATTTTTTTAGTCTGCATTTATAATTCATCATATATACTTGACGTAATATATATAATGTGAAAGCTAAATGTGGCTAGTAGTTTAACAATGACGTAAGTTCTACCGGGTGTTTGATAAGTCTCTAGGCAGGACCTTAATTACAGAAGGTGAGTACTATACTGTGTGCTTCAAAAGTCCCACTTCACAGTCTCTATAAAGTCATATAAAAAAGGTGATCGTGTAGTGAAACTTTCGAAACACCCAAATTTATTACAGTATTATTGGTGTCTAATGTTGAACTTTCCCGAAAAATTATTGGTACTTCAATCTATAATAAAAATGCGTCTACTCTATTTTTTCATTATCGCAACCCATTTTAATTTATCGTTATTAAAAATAATTTAGCATTGTTACGTTTTCTAATATGTATATCATTGTTTAATCAGAATAATTTAAGTTAATACATGAAGTCCAATATCTTATTGATTAAATGACTCATAGTCGATAAGTCAAATTTTTCAAATTTTGGGATATTTTACAAATCTGTCATAATGAATCGAGAGCTTGACAATATTTTTTGAATTTTATATGTACTCTTTAATTGTATGTATGTAGTTGATTATTATTATATAATTGAAAAAATTATTTATACATATAGGTAATCTAAATGTTTTTTTTTTTGGTGTTAAGGAGGTAATCTAAATGTTATGCATTATGTGAAATAAAGAATTTTAATATAATAGATATTTTTTATTCTATATATTGTTAAATAATTTGACAATTTGTAAAGTAATTAGGAACTTAGTTAAGAAGTATTAAATTTATAAAATATTTATTTTAGTAAGAAAAAAGTTTTTTATTTTTTTATTTTTTTTTGGTATTAAGGTGAGGCCTTGCTTATATTTTTATTAATAATTAAAATAGTTACATGTATATATGTTATGACCGAAACCAACACTTGCAGTTAGGATTAACCATTAAACTGCTAACTATATAACTACTACTATTTGTACAAAACAAATAAATTGAAAATTACATACAAGAATAAAAGCTCAGACTAATTTATCTGTAACCTAAACCTACTAGAGTGGTCAAAGCTTATCTAGATTTGAATGTTTAGTATATAATTTGATGATATGTTATATTTGATCTATAGAATAGATCAAATATTAATTTTATAAATTGCTTGGCCAATAGGAAAGCATATATTAAAATAAATATGTAGTTGATCTGGAAATTCACAAAAGCATAAATAAGTATAGTTTCTATGAAAACGTGTATACCTAGTTGCTAAGTTAGATAATATTGAGAGTTTGTTAATTGGCTAAGATTAAGGTTTATTTTGTTTTTTTTTAGTTAAAGTAATGAATGCAATATATTTTCATAATTGTTCATATGATTGTTTATTAATATTAAGAAGAATATTAATAATAACTTGAGAAATGATTTTATATAATATGTTAGAATTTTAAACTATTAATATAAGTGATTTTGAAATAAGTTCTTGAGAGTAAGGTTAGGATAAAATGTATTAGATAAAATATATAGAGGGTTAAGAGCTAAATGATAAAGGATTTTATGAATTAGATCATTTTTTTAGTAAGTATCAAGATTAGATAATTTGTTAAAAATAATTTGATTAGTAAATATTTGAATAATTTGGTTAAACAAAAATGCATTAGCACAAATACAGTAGTAAAAATAAGAGTTAGTTAGATTACAATAAAAGCAATTAGTATCTAGATATTGGTTTGGGTAAATAGTATGAAATAGTTGATATATTAGTAACTCATTAAGAAGGATTTTAATTTTAAAGGATTTTAGTTGATTAAGTCTAAAATTAGTAATGTTGTATAAAGGTTTTTGATTGTAATTAAAATAAAACCAAGTGAATCTCTAGTCAATATTCTGATAAAGTATGACTACTCACTATTATGTTTTTGTGATGCCTATATAGCTAATATGTAGGCTTTACAGATTTGTTTAATGAAATATCTTGTAGGAAGTTTTATATCATAGTGCTCCTATTGAAAAATGTAGTAAGGGTTATAGAGATTTATATAATTAATAAAAGAAGTGGTAATGATGGATGTTGTTTGACAAAAGAGTCTGCTTGCTTATTAAAATTATTATCTAAATGAGTCTGCATTTTATGAAAGATAATTTGTAACTTATATAATTTGATAATATTAGAAAAAATATGCCAAATAGGCCATGAGTTGAATTTAAATAACTTATTAGAATGATTTAAGTAAAGTTGGAAATTATTAAATTTGGAAATTACTGATTAAGAATCAGTAAAAATATTGACTACTGAATTGCATGACATGTTAAAATTGTAATAATAATTGAAAAGAGCTCAGTTTTATATGATGAGAGCCAGAATTGTATTTTAGCAAAGAAGTTAATAGTTTGATTATTATTATTAACTTGGATCCAACCAATACTCATTATGCATTGATCAGTACCAATATCAATTACTAAGTTATTAGTATAAAAGAATAGTTGTTGATAAGAGTGGTTAAGTTAAGAGATAAATATAAATTCATTAGTAGTTTCATTTAGAATAAAGATTTCAGAAATGATTGAATCAATAATAGAAATTATAGGTAGAGGACAAATATGAGTTAGATGCTTAACAGCTATAGATTAGATAAGGTTCAAGTAGTTTGCATTAAGGTTGAGTTGATGTTTGGAATTAGTTCTGCCAAAGAATTGTATTGAAATAATTACAGAAACTTTAATAGTACAAGTTTGATTAATTCTATAAGAATTAAGATAGCATTCTGTATATTATTTGTATTCAGTAGAAGGTAGAAAATAGAATTTTGAGTAATTTAAATCTATATTGGAAGTCCAGTAACTGATAGAGTAATAGTTAAATAAGAGAAAGTATTTTTGTATTTTTCTAATAATAATTTCTTTGTTGTAATATGAAAGTAACCAATGTTTAAATTTTGTAAGTTTTTTAGATGTATTAATAGTATAATAGACATAAGAGTTATAACCAGGTAATTGATAGTATAGTAATATATTTCAGTAGTAAGTGTATGCTAGAATTGTATCTTCTAAGTAAGAGAACCAAAAGGGTTTTCTTTCTTTAACTAAGTGTAAAAGTTTAGATAAAAAATGTTTCTAATCTAATAAGATACTGTTGTTAGCTATGCAAAGTTGTTTATAATATATAATATTTGATTGTCTAAGTTGCTTTTTAAAGATTGGGTATTTAGAATGCTAAGATAAGATTGATTCTAGAAACTGGCCTTTATTACTAATTGTATAAAACCATATAATATTAGGATTAGCTAAGATTACTAAGTCAAGATGAATAAAAAGTTGAATAATTTTGAAGTTTAATGAATGTCTATTAGGGTCATTAATAATTAGTTTAGAATGGTGTAAAATATTAATAGGAGATTATAAGTTATTTTGTAATTGTTGAAGTCTAATTTGAGTTGTGATGCCAAGAAGATCAGAGTTGTTAATTTATTAGAGATAATTAGAGATATGATGCTAAAGTTGAATGTTTCATATATTATAAATATTATATAAATATGGATTAAGCATTGTGCTATTTAGTATAAATCTAGAAAGATGAAACTTATGTTTTGCTATAGTAAGATATTTGGATAAGATTTGGTTACATGTAATATGAGAGAGAATAGTGTTATGTAATCAATATTCCAAAGTTGGAATAATTATTGTATTGATATATAAATAATTTGTTTGTTAGTAATTTTCTTTGTACTAATAATATTGATAAGATTATAAGCCTCTTTTTTTATTAGTTTGATAACTTGTAATTGTTTGTTATTAATTGTAAACCAACATCCAAGAAACTTAAAAGGTTGATTTTTAGAAATAGAGTAAATTAGAGATCTAGAAAACTATATAAAAATGGTAGAGAAGTTTGTGACTAGAATAAACTTTGTCAGATTAATCTGAATATTGGCCATTTGATAGAAAAATATGGCAGTTTTAGTTATTAGATTAAGTTTCTCTTTGAACTTTGCAATCCAAAGAATATTATCTATATAAGCTAGAACTGATACAAATGTTTTTAAAGTTTGGATTTGAGATGAATATAAGTTAGTTTTTCAAGATATAAATAAAGAATAATTTGAAAATTGTAAGGCAATTTTATGAATTAGAGAATCATAATAGATTCTCTAGAATAATGAAGTTATAGTTTCTTCTTAATCTATACTATTTTTAACTAAATAAAAGTTGATAAGATCAAGATTAGATATAACTCAGTTTTGATGATTAGTAAGAAGGTTGATAAGTATATTAATGAGGATTTGAAGCATTGATATCTGTTTAAGAGACTTTGTAAAAAGTTCTAAATTGACAGAATCATATGCTTTGCTCATGTTTTGAAACTAGGGATCTGCAACCCGGGCTCGTGCCTATGCCTAACAAAAATTCAGATATGGGTATGAACATGAAAGCTTTGGCATGGGCATAAATGCTAATATAAAAATTTGGCATAAGCATGAGCATAGGCACAAAAATTTGGCATAAGCATAGGTACAGGCATAAAAACTTGGCATGGGCATGGGTATGGGCACAAAAATTTAGTATCTATTAATTAATTATATGTTTGATACTATTTGGCACTTGTGCCTGGCACTTTTTGGCATCTTTTGCCTAGCATATTGTGCCTATGCCTATAAAGTACCTGGCATTTTTGTATCCATGATTATAAAAATGTATGGCATTTGTGCCCATGCTTATAATAATTTCTGGCACTTTGAGCCTATAGGTATGAGCATAGCATAAGACACTAATGCCTAGCATAGTGTCAATTTGCCTGGCATAGGCATTTGCAGAACCCTATCTGAAACAGAGGCTATAATTGTTTATTGTTGCAACTAGTATCTTCAATAATATTGTTAAGTATATATATTGGAATAGATGTGCTATTGCCAGATAAAGCAATATAGTTGTAAAAAGATAGAATAGAATATTATATAAGTATTAAATTAAGATAATTAGTAAGAAGTTTTGTGTATAGTTTCTTAATATGTTTGACAAAGCTAATAGGTCTTGTATTAGAAAGGTTTTTATCAAAGATAGACTTTTTAGATATTGAAAAGATGTGACCTTCTTTTCATTACTTAGGTATGTAAAAAGTTTGGATATATTGATTAAAAAAAGTAATTATTGCT